TGTAACGGACTGACACTCTCTAGGGAGGTAGATGGGTACTGGAGTACGGTGACGGTCAGCATTCCACTTGGCCTACGAACGCAGAAGGGCGGACTGGACCTGCTTCCATATCCGACGGCACAGTCACTTCCTCCTCTTGAATGGGGAAAAGGGGTGGTCGGTAACCCAGGGAGGCCATGAAGGGAGACATGCTCATGGAGCAACTTTCCTAAGCACAAGGCCCACCGAGCCTAGCGAGAGTTCATTCTCTTGGTAGAACGAGAGAAAAGCTTCTTGTGATCTCTCCAAACTACAAATGGTTGGTCACCCTCCAACCAGTGCCTCCATTTCTCCAGTGCAAGAACAACAGCCAGCAGATCTGTCGCCCACGTGGTATTTGTGCTCTGCCGGTGAGAGATGCCGGGAGAAGAAAGATGATAAGTCCTTGGAAACTCACTGTGGTGATTCCTAAGAACATCATTGACCATGGCTTGGAAAACTGCCGAAAAAGCATGACCAGGCCAAAAAGCATTACCAGGTATTCAAAATGTCCCAAGGGGGGTGTTAAATGCCGTCTTCCACTCGTCTCCCTCTCGCATGCGCACATGGTGGTAGGCATTGCGGAGGTCAAATTTGGAGAAGATGGCCTGGAGAAGGGGCTCAAATGCGGGATTAAGGAGGTATTTATTCTGAACCCGTGATATTATTAAGACCATGGTAGTCAATGCACTTCTTGCCCACAAAGAAGAACCCAGCTCCAACCGTAGACGAGGAGGGTCGGATTAATTCACTCTCAATAGAGCCATGCATGTACTTCTCCATTGCCTCACTCCCTCCGGATGGGAAAGGTTAAAAAGATGGTTCGTGGGTATTAATGCGCCTGGGAGCAGTTTGTCGGCGCAGACATAGGGCCTATGTGGGGTAATGTCTGACCCAGCAGCTTACTAAAGACCTTGCTGAGGTCATGGTACATAGGAGGGACTGCAACTGACCAGAGACAATGAGAATGGCAAAAGGGGCGCCTTATAAACTGATGAGGTGTAGGTGATGGTGATTAGAACTCGGCGGCTCTTGACACCTGAGAAGAGGGGCGAAGACGGCACCGAGGTCTACCACTACCCCTGGGAGCAGGGCGACCAGGATGGTCGGCGTGAAACTGAGGAGAGCCGGATCCAGGATGTCAATGCGGGGTACCCACGACCGTTCCTCTGGGCCATAATCCTCACAGTCAACCAGGTATTCCACATGCGGACCTCGGCGTCGTGAGTCCATGATGGTGCGGACTCTAAAGATGGGCTCTGGTTCGACTAACTGGAGGAGGAGGTCTGTCATCCGGAACGGTTTCTGAGGGAGGAGCAGAGACAGGTTCAATGAAGGGTTTCAACAGTGACACATTGAAAGATGGTGAAATTCTGTATTGTGGAGGAGGATCCAGCCTGTAGGTGACTTCGTTCAGCTGCTTCTCCACGGGGAAAGGACCAGTGTATCGAGGACTCAGCTTACGGCAGGGCACACTGAGACGCATGTCGAAAGTCGCACCTTTTTTTCCAGGCTGGTACTGTGGAGGGTCAGCACGACGACGATCTGCTTGGTCCTTGTGTCTTTGCACTGCCTGCTGGAGGTGAGCGTGAGCTGAATCCCATGCCCTCTTGCTCTGATGGAACCAGTACAGCCGGGCCGACCGGAGCCGGAGGGCCCACCGGACCACGGGAAGAGTGGAGGTTGATAACCCAGGACACACTGAAAGGAGCTGAGCCCCGTGGTAGACCGCTGAAGGGAGTTCTGGGCGTACTCTGTCCAGGGGAGGAACTGGCTCCAGTTGTCCTGGTACTGGTGGCAGTAGGTTCGGAGATAGCGTCCAATCTCCTGGATCTTCCGCTCAGTCTGACCGTTCGTCTGGGGGTTGTATCCGGAAGATAGGCTGACAGTGACCCCAAGGAGTCTGAAGAACGCCCGGCAAACCCTAGAGATGAACTGAGGACCTCGGCCCGACACTATGTCCTTGGGGACACCGAAGTTTCAGAAGACGTGATTGAAGAGGGCCTCTGCGGCCTCAAGTCTTCGGTCGATGAGGCATCTGCCTTGCAATTCTTGCTTCCAGGTCGGTAAGATACGGTAAATTCAAAGCGGGTAAAGAAGAGGATCACCCTGCCGCTGTGAGAGAACCGCTCCAACCCCTGTTGAGGATGCGTCCACTTCAACAACAAAGGGTATATCAGGGTAAGGATGAACCAAGATGGGAGCAGTCAGGAAGGCTTCCTTTAGTTGTTGAAAGGCTCGGATGGCTTCAGGAGGTAAGGACAGAGATTTGGGCCGGCCCCTTAGAGATGAGGTCAGAGGAGAACTGATGTGAGTGTGGTTGTTGATGAATCTTCGATAGAAATTGGCGAATCCGAGGAATCGTTGAAGATCCTTTACCGTAGAGGGCAGGGGCCAGTTCTGGATAGTCTCCACCATCCTCTGGTCCATCTGGACTCCCCGTTGGTCTATGATGTAGCCCAGAAACTGCACAGTGGTGGTGTGACATTTTTTTCCAGTTTATGAGCTCTCAGTTTCTCCAAAACCAGAGAGGTGGTGCTTATGCTGAGAGAGATGAGGAGAAGACTCATAGTGGCCTGAGGGCGTGCCGAATACCATTCGTCACCCCTTCGAATGCAAATCAAGTTGTACGCACTGTACTAAGTCGAACTTAGAAAAGATGCGGGCTCCACGCAGCTTCTCCAGCGCTGCTGGGACCAGAGGAAGGGGATAGCTAAACTTCACAGTTTGAGAGTTGAGATGACAGTAATCAATGCACAGCCTTAAGCCTTTGTTCTTCTTAACCACAAAAAAGAAGCTGGAAGCGGCCGTGGATGTAGAAGGTCGAATGAACCCACGTCGAAGAGCTTCCTCCACATACTCCTCCATGGCCCTTTTCTCCGGGATGGACAGAGGATAAACACGGCCTTTGGGCAGGGTGGCTCCAGGTAGCAGATCGATGGCGCAGTCTCCTGGCCTGTGAGGTGGTAGTTTGGTCGCCAACTGCTTGCTGGAGACATCCTGTAATGCTCTGTACTCCGCCGGAATCTCCACTTGGTGCTGGACTTCCGGACCGTCCAGGGACATGGAACAAACGGGAAACCATCCCTCTGGAGATGAAGCAGAGGGACCCTTCGGGACCTTCTCAACCGAGGCTAGACAGGAGTGGGAGCAGTCCTCTCCCCAGTGAAGGACCTAACCGGATCCAAGGGCGTCCCAGGATGAGCTCGGCAGTGGAATCCTCCAGTACCATGAAGGAGATCTCCTCCGAGTGCAGGCAGCCGACGTGGAGCGTGAGTGTGGGGGTGAAATTACGAATTTGACCTTGGACCAATGGTCTGCCCTGGATGGTGTGAACTCTGAGGTCTTGGTGACTTCGGCGCTTACGAAGGTTCAATTTTTGTAGGAGTTGGGGGGGACATGAAGTTCCCCGCCGAGCTGGAGTCCAGGAGGGCTTGCGCTGTGACACAAACATGGGCGGTTAGTAACTGAACAGTGGTGCGGTTTAAGGTTGAGATCTTTGGCGGAATCTTAATGGAGCTTACCGCCGGGTGTGGAGGTCGAATAGGGCAGCCGCTGATGAGATGTTTGTCATCCCCACAATATAGACAGAAGCAGTTGAATCCTCCGCTGCCGCTCCGACGAAGAGAAAGAAGTGGAGTCCATCTGCATGGGCTCGGGTGCTGGAGGAGTGACAGATTGTACCGAGGACAATCTATACAACCACCAGTTGCCGGATGTTGGGGTTGAGACATGCCGAAAAGCTGTCATCAACGCGGTCTCATTCCAGCCACTTAGCAGCCGCCAACGTACGAAACTGAAGGGCATACGTACTCGCCGAAGGCTTTCCCTGACGAAGGTTGTAGAGCTGATCGTCAACGGTGAGATCAGAAGCTGTCTGACCAAATACTTCCTTGAAATGCTAAATGAAACTTGGAAGAGATTTTACCACAATCTGAGTTCCAGATAGATTGAGCCCATTGGAGTGCTCTTCCGGACAGCAGGGAGATAATAAACGCTACTCGAGCAGAGAGATTAGAAAATTGGTGCGCCTGCGTTCGGAAATACAGCGATACCTGAAGCAGAAAGCAGCTGCAATCCTCCGCCTCTCCGTGGAAGGTCGCTGGTCGAGCTTTGGTCTGGTCTTCTGTCACGAATGGGGGACAGGAGACAGTCGTGAGGTAAGTACAATAGTTTATTGACAAGATTGCGGAACCAGACAGAGATATGATGAATAGGCAGGCAGATGATCAGGATGGAACTTTAACTGGAGGGTAGTCCGAGTTCCAGGTTACGGACTGGAGGAGATTCCCTTGGAGCAGCAGATAGGTATTCAGGTACGTAGCGTGAGAGTCTGTTGTGTCCTGTAGAGACGAGACCAGACACTGAGTGTGTGAAGAGGAGTCAAATATAAAGGGAGGTGAACTGATGAGGTGCAGGTGATGGTGATTAGAACTCAGGGGACTGTGAACGAGTGGGAGGAGTGAGTGAAGCTGGTGGGATCCTGACAATCGTAGCCGACCCCTCTCACTCCGGACAAAAACTGTTTGTGTTTTCTCATCAACAGAGCCCGGTCCCCCACTGTCTGACTCTGACATTCCACCGGTCACTTTCTTTCATACAGCACACGTCACTTTCACTTGTCACTTTACACTCGTCACTTTTGTCACTTCCTGTTCGCTAGTGCACTTTATTTTTTAATTTTTAAATATGTTTTATCTTTAACTTTTATTCTTTTATTTTAAACTAACCCATAGCCTTATACTACTAACCCATAGCATTATATATTTTTTAATCTGAGGTCCACCCATTGATTCTATTAAGCAGAGACAGGCTATGCTGATGTCCTCTGCAGACGTTTCTGAAAGTAAAGCTACTTAGGACAGCTCCATAATACACCAGATGTCATTCCTGGTGTGTGTTTTAATGTCTGAGAGGAATATATTCTCTCAAAACATTGTCCTCATTAATTCTTCTGTTTTATTTTTGTCTCTTATCACCAGGTGCTGTCTCTGGGTGCAGATGTGCTGCCAGAATACAAGCTCCAGGCCCCACGCATTCACAAGTGGACAGTGTTGCACTATAGCCCCTTCAAGGCGGTGTGGGACTGGCTCATTCTGCTGCTGGTCATCTACACCGCCATCCTGACTCCCTACTCTGCCGCATTCCTCCTCAACGACCAGGTGGGGTCTCTTCCAGGGAAAGGGTCACTAACAAGTTCCCTGTCAAGTCAAGCTTGTTTCATTCATGTTGCTAGATCGTGTTTCATCGGGCTTTACATCTGTCTGACATAAGAACTTTAGACTCTCTGGGGCAGTTTGTTTTACCATCATTCTTCAACACTTATGGCAAGATGTAAAGGGCTCGGCCTTGTGTGGACTGCCATGTTCAACTTATGTGGCCTCGCAGGCGCGACTCTTCTTGTTGCTGTCCCACTGATCAGGCTTCTAGTTTATAGATAAAGACAGCTTTATTCCATAAGCAAATAAAATAGCAGGAAAGACTAGAGGAGCCCTTAAACGAATACCAACGTTGATAAATGTTGTTGTGAAAATACATCTCTTTTCAAGGTTACGTTCCTTCAAGTTTTCATCAGTACTCGGACCTAAAAGAAGAACACACAGGCAGAGTTTAGAGAAAGTGGGTTTTGTCGGTAGGCAGGAAGGCTGAGAACCAGGAGACCAGTCAGTCGGATGTGTGCTTATTATCAGATGAGTGCTTATTGGAGGGGCGCATGCTGGATCTGGAATGACAGAACCGCAGAGTGACAGAGTGAACAGGGGAAAACAAACTATGATGAACCGACAATATAAATATAAAATGTTCAGGCATGTAGGCAAATTATATTAAAAACCTTAACACTAATCAATTTGAAGGAGGTAGTCACACAAGCGGTTCTGTTTCATTCAGAGCATTAGCTTGTTTTTCTTCTACTCTCTTCTGTATTTTCTCCCTTGAATCTCAACTCTTGAATTGTCCCCTTACCTATTCCTCTACCTCTCCTCCATCTTTCCACTCCTCCCAGGAAGAGGCAGCCATGCAGAGTTGTGGTTACTCCTGCTCTCCTCTCAATGTGGTGGACCTCATAGTGGATATCATGTTCATTATTGACATCCTCATTAACTTCAGGTCAGTCTTTTAATCCAAGAGTCCACAGTATAGTTGTAGTAAAAGTTGTCGTTGTAGTAGAATATCAATACGTTATAATAAATACAAAATTCTCCAGGTCTAATTCCCAACTCCCATCCTCTGTCCTCGTTAAACCATGTTTGGAGCTGACCGTAGCATTAGGGAACACAGTAGCGATTACTAAAGTAAATGGTACAAAGTAGTTCCCAGAGTTGCAGTAGTAAAATCTTATATCAACGTTTATCGTGTTAATATAATGTGCTCTCCTCCTCAGAACAACATATGTGAACACTAACGACGAGGTGGTAAGCCACCCGGTGCGGATCGCTGTGCATTACTTCAAGGGCTGGTTCCTCATCGACATGGTGGCTGCTATTCCCTTTGACCTGCTCATTTACCGCAGCGGGGAGGAGGTAAGTCCCCATAGAGGGAGGAGGGTGCTTCCAGATCGCTGGGGGGGACTAGTCAATCTGTGGAGACGGAGGCATGAAGAGAACAAGAGAGAGATATGTTGCTTCATTGACATTGTGTCATGAAAAAGGTACAAAGCGTGAAGCGGAGGGAGACAGGGGAATAAGAGGAAGAAAGAGGCAGAGGTGGGTTAGTTCCTGCTTCATCATTTAATTGTCTCCGTGGGGAAGTTGATATTCAGTCTGCTGTGGCAGAGTGGCAAAATATACTTTACAAAATACAAGGCAGTGTACGAAATGCTAATGTAAAGAATGTATTAATCAATGTTGTACTGCTCAAATCTAATGCATTGTCTTTTTTCTGTATTTTCTGCTTCCAGCTTCTCAATTTGTCAGATGTTTAAGCTTTAGGTTTTGGCTCTGTTTTTAAATGGAATAATGACTTTGGCTTAAGCTTTAAGTTGGTTGGATAAAAGAAACAACGTAACTTACAATTGATTTTGTTTGACGTTCCCTGAGAACTGACCGTATTTAAGACTCGTGCCCTCTGCCCTCACACTTCAAATGTCAAATGTTTAACACACTCTTAGTTTTTTTGTTTCTTTGACGGCTGAAGAGCAGCACAAGGTGGATTTTATTTCAACAAGATTTGACTGAGGGGTGGGGCTGTAAGTCACTCTGGTAACATATTCATGTCAGTGTGGCAAAGCCTTGCGTGGGGGGGAGTAATTTCAGGGGGTGGGGGCGCCCCTGTGTTATAATGGTAGGGGAAACACTGGACCTCTTGCCTCCTGAATGCCCACACCTCCAGCTTTCTGCACAAAGTATGCAAGTCTCAAGGCCAATCTGGGTATTTTTTAACTTAAAGGGGACACATCATGAAGTATCTCCTAATGAGCCTGCATTTGATAAAGTGAGGGTAGCCAAATCTGAATGGCTTGTTGAATCACACGTTTTTCTAGTCTAGAAAGCCCATGAAAATGGATTGTCTTTTGTGGGTTGGGAGGAAAATCACGATTTTTTTCTTCAGTCAGTTGGAGAATTCAAGAAAGTGGTTAGTAGGTTGCCATGCCATCTGAGGGTACTTCCCACCTAATGAGGAGGGTGCCTCCCTCCTCCCAGCAGCTCAGACGAGGCCAATCCCACTGACACTTGGAATTCCTCTAATGTTGATGGGATTTTTGTAGGTAATTCAAAGATGTGTTATTTATAGTCATTAAGCCACCCACCAGGCCAAAAATTATGAGTGTGGAAACTAAACCGACATTGAAAAACTGGCCTGGTGGGAACTCAACTCATAGAAGCCACAGAGCCAAGAAAGACAACTCACCAGACAACTATTAGTTACTGAGAGCAGAGGACACACACATATAGTAGGACTAGGCCCTCCGCCAGTGCAGTAATCGTCTTGTTATTTATTTGTCATATGGACACAGAGGGAGGCCAGATGGCCGGAGGAATGTTAGGATAGGACATCACAGTTGTTGTTTTTTAGGAGTCTTCAAAACGCCTCACCGAAATCACCAACACGCTCTCTATCCCTCTCAGACCACCACTCTAATTGGTCTGTTGAAGACGGCTCGTCTCCTGCGACTAGTGCGCGTGGCCAGGAAGCTGGACCGCTACTCGGAGTACGGGGCAGCTGTCCTCTTCCTCCTCATGTGCACCTTCGCCCTCATCGCTCACTGGCTGGCCTGCATCTGGTACGGTGCCATAACACTGTCGGAAGAATAGGACGCAATTCACAGACGGAGGAGTAATGTGGAAATAGTACTGTTAAATAATACTGGGCGGAAGAAGTGTATCCGTGTATGATCACACAAAAATACAACATCACCTTGATTATTTGCGGCCTTCCATCAAAAGGCGCAAGTTGGGCAACTTATCATTAATAAAACTGCAAATAAAAGGCTGAGCAGCAAAATAATCTATATTTTTAGAGATGTATGGAATGCAGCACATATCTTGTTCCTTTGCACAGGATGCAACTAGCTATTGTAAATTTGGGGGAAAACTCTAAAACCAGACGCTTGAGAAGTTGAATTAATTTTACATTTAGTGGACTTTTTTAGGGTGGGGGTGTCATAGGGAATAGACTATTTTATTCATCGTTCAAGTTTTACCCAGAAATGGATATTAAGTCAAAAGTGTAATTTTTAAATTTGTATTATAAATGTTTGCATGTCTGCTTATAACAAATCAAAATGTTATTTTGTCATAAGTACACATGATAAAACGAAATGTTGTTTTGGCATATACAACAAGGTAAATACAGTTAATTCCGGTATATTTCCGTATATTCCTGTGAGAGTTTCCAACTCTGAATATTCCCGTAATTTTGCAACCCTAGTAATTTGTGTTTCTCTGCATGGATCAGAACAGGGGCTGTTGCTGTCAAAATACTGATATTCTCCTCTTCGGTACAATACTCTGAATGTATTGTATATTCATGTTTTATTTTTTATGATGCCTTTTTTGGCAATTTAATTGAGTCAAAGGACAGTTACATTTTAGATGCAGAACATTTTCTGAATCTGTAAGAAATTATGTTTTTATAACTTTTCAAAGGTAGAACATCCATTTTGTGTCACTTTTAACTACTGCTAATTATTGCTAACATAAGCACTTATATACATGCATTAATATTTTCCCAGGTATGCGATCGGTAGCGTTGAGAGGAACGGTTCTATCGGCTGGCTCCACACGCTGGGGGACCAGTTGGGAAAGACCTACAACAGCTCCATCCTAGGTACTGTAGAAAAGCTAACTACAGTATGACAGTAGTACCGGTTTGAGATATTGTAGTGGTCCCATATGCTTGCTTGCTTAAGCATGCAAGTAAAAAAAACATCTTTCATTATAATCAAATCGTGTTTGCCCATGATTGTGGGATCATCATCCGTCATTCTGTTTTGTGAAATATTTTTATCATTTTACGCTCCAGGTTCGGGACCCTCCATCAAAGACAAGTACGTCACAGCCCTGTACTTCACCTTCAGCAGCCTGACTAGCGTGGGTTTTGGAAACGTGTCCCCTAACACCAACTCTGAGAAGATCTTTTCCATCTGCGTCATGCTCATCGGATGTAAGTGCTGATATTATGCAAACAGCCCTATTAATCCAAAACACAAACTAAAACATTTATATAAAAGGCTAAAAACACATCTACGTGATAGCCCTGTGTCTGGACCGTACACATGTACAATTTCAAGTTGATAGAGTACAAGTATAAACTACTCTAGAGAAGGCTTTTGATTGGTCGACCATTCATTTGAACCGCATCTCATTGCAAAAACAGCAGATTTAATCATTTCAGTGAAAACCGACAACGGTAGCCATATTTATGATTTTTACGCTTACGCGGTGGTTTGGTGGGTTAATGATAGAGATATCCACAAATTCACCATCATCTGCTCCTACAGTGTTTTGTGTGCAAAATTATTGGACTAAATTGCATGGAATATTGTTTTACTCTTACTCCGCTGGCTAAGATTGTGATTGGAGTATTTTCAAGTGGATAATGGCTTTTGGTAGCCAAGACTCTAATGCTTCGAACCAGGTAAAGCATGCATAGCTGTGTTCATGATGAGACACACATTGCTCCATTTTGGATGTGTGCTGGACGGTTTTTCTGATTCATTCGCTGTGATGACTTAGTGGGTTTTGTACTGCAGGTTTGGCATGGTTTGTCACGGCAATTTAGGGCAATCTGCTGATGCTTTTTGATGTTTTTTATATGGATAATTGCATATTGTAACCAGGACTCTAATGCTTTGAACAAGGTGGGGTTGTCGTGGAGCAGGGGTTAGAGAAGGAAAGGTTGGTGGTTCGAGTCCAGGCTGCCCCATGTTCCATGTCGAAGTGTCCCTGAGCAAGACACCTAACCCCTAATTGCTCCCTGGGCAAAAATGTGAAAAAGCCATGGGTTTAAAGTGTAAGTCGCTTTGGATAAAAGCGTCTGCTAAATGACCTGTAATGTAATGTAAAGGATTTATATATCTTTTCATGATGAGTACTCACAATGTTGGTTCTGGTATGGTTCTGACTGAGTGTTTTTGTCCCTTTGGTGTACACAAAGGGGCT